CCCGAGGCCCGGGCGCGCATGCCGACCCGTTCCCACGTGCAGGCCGACACAGGGATGACGCAACCCGCTCACCTGCCCGGCGGACCCTGCGCCGCCGCCGCCGCCGCCGCCGCCTCCCCCTCCCCCGGCTGCTTCCTCCCTCTAGTCGGCCAGCCTCCTCTCTTGGCTCCGCCCCTCGCGGCACACGCGCCGTCAGAGCGCCTCCCTTCTTAAGTCAGGATATCGTCGGCGGGCGGCCCCCCCTCCCGTTTAGCGGGAAGCTGCGAGGGGGGGAAAAGGCCGTGTTCTTGTCTTGTGTGCGCATGCGCATCGGGAGAATATGAAGTCTCTTCCGCCCGTGGCTGCTGCGACTTTGCCAGACGCCTCTTATTTAGGAAATTAGAAATTAGGTGATTCCCTGGGTGATAAACCCCTTCCGATACCGCCAAGGCGGATGAACCGGTTCAAGCAAACGTTTTATTTTTGGAATTCGTAGAACGGCACCACCGTTCAGAGCTGGAAAGGATTTCAGGAGTCATCAAGTCCAATCTATTGACAAAGCAGGAAATCGATAACTAAGGCATCCCTGTTTAAAAACTTGGAAGGAAGAGGATTCCTTCACCTCCAAAATAGTCCATTCTGCTGCTGAACATCTCCTACTAGGAGTTTTCTCTTAATGTTTAAGTCTAGATCCCCTTTCCTGTCATTTATATTCATGGGTTTAGGTGCTGATTTCTAGATCCTCAGGAAACAAGCTTACCCCTCTTCCACCTGAGAACCCTTCAAATATTTTAACATTGTTATTATATATCTCCTCAACCTTTTCTTTTTCAGGCTAAACATGTCCAGCTGCAGCAACTGTTCTTCATAAACGGTTTCCAGAACTTTTATTACTGTATCTTGGTTACCCTTCTCAGAACATGTTCCAGCTTGTCAGTATCTTTCTTAAATTGTAGAACTAGATACAGTGGTGCCTCGCTAGACAGTTACCCCGCATGACAGGTTTTTCGCTAGACATTGACTTTTTGCGATCGCTATAGCGATTCGCAAAACAGTGATTCCTATGGGGGAATTTTGCTGGACAATGTTTGGTCCCTGCTTCGCAAACCGATTTTCGCTAGACAATGATTTTGACAGCTCCATGTTCGCAAAATGGGTGTTTTCGGCACCTAAGCTTCGCAAGACAGTTATTTAAACAGTTGATCGCCGGTTCGCAAAGTAGCTTTCCTATGGCCGCTCTTCACTAGACAACGACGATTCTTTCCCATTGGAATGCATTCAACAGGTTTCAATGCATTCCAATGGGGAAATGCTTTTCGCTAGACGATGATTTAGCTAAACAGCGATTTCAGTGGAACGGGTTATCATCGTCTAGCAAGGCACCACTGTACTGGATTCTTAAGGGTAGGGCTACACTTAGCAGCAGGCAGCCAGCTAGTGGCTGTCACTTGGTGAAGATGGGGACTTGATTAAAACGATCTAATCAAGCCTGACCCTTCACACAGAAATGGCTCCTGCCAGTATCGTGAAGTGGCTTAACATGCAAGTTACTTCAAGATATTGGCAAATTAATCACTGAGGGAACTGAGGGAAATTGTTTTACTATTGCTGATGTGCTGCATCAGTTCTAAGACATTTACAGAGCCCATCGGCCCATCCCTGCAGCACTCGAAACAGCAAACTAAACACCCTTCTGAAAACTCCTTATGCAGCCACCTGGTTTCTTTACCTGTCTCCTACCTTTCTTTCTTATGGGAATTGCTTATGATTGTGCCTTCGTTACCTCATCTTTCCAAAACTCCAATCCTTCATGCGCTACTTCTCTTTTAATATTTCTGACTGTGGAATCTCTCACCCAGTATTTCCTTCACCTTATTGAAATCAGGTTTCTTAAAAGTCCAGTGTGTGTGTTACCCTGTTTCCCTGAAAATAAGCCCTAATATGATTTTTCAGGATGCTCGTAATATAAGCCCTACCCAAAAATAAGCCCCAGGCAAGTGAAATCCTGCACTCCACCATTGTGCAGCAAGCAGACGAAGATGAAATGACTGTACAGGTATTTGAATAAATTCAGATTGTTGTACATGAAAAAATAAATAAAACATCCCCTGAAAATAAGCCCTAATGCATTTTTGACCAAAAATTAATGTAAGACCCTGTCTTATTTTCGGGGGAACATGGTATATTCTTCTCAGCTTTTTTGCCCCTCAGTGGAACAAATCTCAAGAAAGCATTGTTCCTGCTACTTCCACCTGGCTGACCAGTTCTATCCTACTGGTAAGGGCCAAATCCAGAATTGCTAATCCTCTTGTTGTTTCCATTTGGAAAATGCAGCTGTTGCCCGAACAAGTTGCTGGTGGCGTTTTTGGGATGGGAGGCTAGCTATGAAAACTGTCCTGATGAGCACATATACTTCTAAATTTACCACTTCTTCTGAGCAGAAGTGCATCAAATTGCTCCATAAATGTTACAAATAAGCACACTACCAAATCTCAGAATTAGGGAAGGAATGGGGGAACCTGTGGTTCTCGAGATACTGCCAGAGTCCTATTGTCATTATTTCTCATTACTGACTAACAGGAGGGCCAATGTCTGGAAGCCCTCACTTTCCCCACCTCTGACATCAGCATTCTTAAAAGTCTTAGTCATTTAGTCGTGTCCGACTCTTCGTAACCCCATGGACCAGAGCACGCCAGGCCCTCCTGTCTTCCACTGTCTCTTCGATGACACTGTCCAACCATCTCATCCTTTGTCGTCCCCTTCTCCTCCTGCCTTCACACTTTCCCAACATCAGTGTCTTAAAAGTAGCAATCCTCTTTTAAGACTTTCAGGGTTAGAACTGTATTGTTACTAAATTTGACCAGATCAATACAAGAAGAGTTACTATGCTAATGTAACAGATTTATCCTGGAATGGCAACATAGTTGCACCTACAATAAATACTACAAATGTAACTGTATGAATCATTTTAGCAATGGCTGCCAAGATTTTGGATTAACAATTGGCCTGAAGAAAACACAAGTCGTGGGCCAAGGTGTGGACTCACCTCCCTTTATTACCATCTCTACACAAGAATTGGAGGTTGTTCATGACTTTGTGTACCTTGGCTCAACGATCTCTGGCACTCTCTCCCTAGATGTCAAGCTGGATAAACACATTGGCAAAGCAGCTACCATGTTCTCTTGACTCACAAAGAGAATATGGCTCAATAAGAAGCTGGCGGCATATACCAAGATCCAGGTCTATAGAGCCTGTGTCCTAAGCACACTCCTGTACTGCAGTGAGTCCTGGACCCTTCATGCATGGCAGGAGAGAAAGCTGAATATGTTCCATATGCGTTGCCTCCGATGCATTTTTGGTATCACCTGGCAGGATAAAGTTCCAAATAGAGTAGTCCTAGATCAAGCTGGAATTTTTAGCATATATACATTACTGAAACAGCAACATCTATGTTGGCTTGGGCATGTTGTGAGAATGGCTGAGGGTTGGATTCCAAAAGATCTTCTGTTTGGAAAATTAGTGCAGGGAAAGCACCCCAGAGAGAGACCACAGCTGTGATACAAGGATATCTACAAGTGGTATCTGAAGGATCTGGATGTCAACAGATGGGAAACCTTGACATCTGAGTGTTCAGCCTGGAGGCATGTGGTGCAGCATGACCTCTCCCAATTTGAAGAGACACTTATCCAGCAGGTTGAGGCAAAAAGGCAATCCTGAAACCAGCAAAATCAGGGAGCTGGACAGGGGACGGATTGTATTTGTCTTCAGTGTAGAAGGGATTGTCACTCTCCAATTGGCCTCCTCAGCCACACTAGACGCTGTTCCAAGTCATCTATTCAGAGCACGTTACCACAGTATCTCAAGACTGAAGGATGCCAAAATCTAAATGTATGCTAGCAACATGCTAAGGATAGGATTGCAGATGAAGGCAAAATATTTTGTTCAAATTCTGTCTTTCATTTGGTTCATGGTGAAATTAGAGGTGAGGTTAATTTCATTAATGTATTCACATGCACAAGCTGTGTGGGTTTTTTGCAGCCTAGGGAACATGGGGAAAGTTTGATTCCTTATTTGTTCTGGACACAAATCACCTCTCCCAAGCTATCATATGAACTTCAGGGGAAACCTTTGCTGAGAAAGATTGGATTGGATGCTTCCCTTGCATGGCAAATTACTACAGTACTTTGGAGTGTCAAAGCCAGATCATAACTGAGCATACTCTTATGAATTAAGTGGAGTAATTAAAGATACATCTACTGGATTATATGGATACTAGAGTGGTGGAGAACATGGTTCAAATCCTCACTTGGCCATGGAAACTCACTGGGGGAGTGGATCTGGTAAAACCACTCTTAAAATATCTCACTTACCTTGAAAGCCCTATATTAGGGTCACTATAAGTCGGTTCTGACTTGACAACATAGAACACATAAACCTTATAGGAAGAACAGGGGTTAGCTTTTCCTGTTCCAGTCAGCCCAAAGCTACAGTATTTTTCTCTACATGGAGAAGAGGAGGAAGGAGAATTATGAGCAGAACAATAGCTCAAAGGAAGAGGTTAAGCAGCACTTCCGTTTCTATTTGCTTGCTTAAAGTCACAGCCTCTCAGTACTGCTTTTGTATTTTAATAAAAAGAAAAGGAAAAATTACATGCAGCTGCATGCCATTAGTAGTTTGCATCCCAATGGGACAGCCGAATAGTAGCTATGTGATAGATCTGTTGATTAAATTATAGGTAATTTCCAGGACTCTGGCAGTTTTACTCCAAAATATT